ATATATATATATATATATATATATATATATAATTTATTTTAAAAAGAGGGATACTTACTTCAAGAGTAAGTCTTGTTAAACATATTTCACTTAATAACTCATGTTCTAAATTAAATTTTAGTAATCTAACTATTAAATTAAAAGTTTTTAATGTATAAATTAAGTCTTCAAATGTTTAAAAAATTTAAAAATCATTTAATACTTCATTATATAGATTCAAATCAATGTATAAAATATTTTATGATTATCTGTCAATTTGAATTAATGAAATGAAGTATCAACTATTTTTTAAATTTTTAAAAAATTTACAAACTTGATTTATACATTAAGAAGTTTTAATTTAACAATTGGATCGTTAAAATTTGATATAAAATATGGGTTATTAAGTAAAGTAAGTCTAACAAGACTTACTCTTAGTAGATCCCTCCTGTTATTTTATATAGGTGGGCTACATTAACAAATTTGATAATGATAGTAATAAATATTTTTTAAAATAGGCCAGTTTGCTAAACATAATTTTTTTTAAATGACCTAGATTATGATTTTTTTAAAAAAAAACTAGATATACTTTAATAAAAGCTCTCACAATGAAAAAACTCACAATTTGTTTAATCTTCCTAATTTGTCTTGCATGCTTACAATAAATTCCTATTTATAGGCTAAAATAACCCCTCATTTACAAATAGTAACTTTCCATTAAGACTCCCTAGGACATAAATCTTCACTATCATTTATTTTTCACTAGGAAACCTATAACAGTCAAAACTAACCTAGGTAATAGGAAAAATCTTATGAACTTATTTAATAAAAATAAAATACCAAAATTACAATAAAATTGAGAAAATGAGCTTATGTAATTATACATTCAACCCAACAGCTATGTATACCACACAAATAAAGTCCAACCCACTATAGTATCTTTAATATTTGGTGTTGACTCTTCAAAGTCTTTTTTTTAAACTATTTTAGATCTTTTTCTAGTCATTGAGTCTTCCATCAATTGAAATTGATATTTGAAAATATTGTCCCTTGATAGATTGCTATCATTCCCTCCCTCTTTGATATGATTCATCCTCAAATCAAATTCAACATCTTGTTTTGCATATGAATCCACTATCTCATTGAATTGCTTTGTCCATAGAATCGTTATCTACAATTCTTCCTTTGGCATCAAGACAAAAATGAGTTATATTATTATATTAAAACTTGAAAAGTGTAACACCCCAATTTTTATTTCACTTTTTATTTATTTTAATTGAGGGTATTTTGGTAATTTTATAAAGGTATAGGGGTGATTTAGTAGCTTGGAATGGGCTGTTCCGGAATTGGAACGGGTCGTTCCAAACTACCAAAAGGTATGTGATTTAGTAGCTTGGAACGGGCTGTTCTGGAATTGGAACGGGCCGTTCCAAACTACCAAAATATATGCGAGTTCGTTGCCCAGAACGGGCCGTTCTCAAGTTGGAATGGGCCGTTCTGGACTATTAAAAATTGCCTTTAACTCTATGTGGGAACGGGCTTGGAACGGGCTATGACAGTTGTGAGTAATAAATGCAACCAGAATGGGCCGTTCTGGTTTGAGAACGGGCCGTTCTGGGTGTGATTTTTACCCATGATTCAAGGGTCCAGAACGGGCCATTCCGAATTTAGAACGGGTCGTTCCGGCGAAGCCTGAGACCTATAAATTGAGCTCTCTGCCACTCCCAAAAGGCACACCTCTCATTTTCTGATTTCTTTTCTTCTGCTCTCTCTTCTTTTCCCTCTACTTTCTGCTTCAGACCGAGGGAAACCCAACGAGGGAGACTAACTAGATCTCGTATAAATTCAGCTTCTACATATCCAGGGATGAGACGAACCTTGAGTAGTGATGCTTCAAGGACGAGCGTGCCCCTGGCATGGTGTGGGATAAGTGAGACAATTAACACGCATCACTTATGTTAAATATGGCAGCCCTGGCATATGGTTAATTGCAAGAGATTGTGTGGATTGTGATGTGATTGTGGTTCCTCACACTAATGACCAGGGATGAGACGAACCTTGGGTAAGTGATGCTACAAGGACGAGCGTGCCCCTGGCATGGTGTGGAATGAGTGAGGCAATTAACTTGTATCACTTGTGTCAGTTGTGGCGTGGTCTTGACATAGTGTTAATTGTAAGATTTATGTGGATTGTGATGGATTGATGTAATTGTGAATTGAGATGTGAAGATGATGAATGATTGATAAATTATGATATATATATATATATATATATATATGAATGCTTGTAAATATTTTATTAAGCAACGAGTTTTGATGAGATTACATTTGTGGTGTGTTTGTATGTGCTTTGCATATAGGTATTTTCTTTTCTCACCGTATAAATTGTGGATGTTTTAGGTGAGGAAGATCCGACTTCGAGTGGCATCTAGAATGCCAACAGTGGAATTGTGGATATGCTCTGATATTGTGACATCGGTGCAGAGGATTTTTAGGATATAGATTTTTATATGAATTTGGAATTGTAATTATTATTTTTGAAAATAATTTGTAAACTCTTGCGTTTCATTTTTATTATTGTGGTTATTGAAGAATAATTTTGAAGATTCTCATGTGAAACCTTTTACCAAAATTGAAAAATTTATTTGTAAGTTTTGATTATTACAATATATGTGTTGGGGTAGTAAGGGTGTCACAAAAAGAAGAAATAAATCCATAATCCAATGTTGAAGAAAGGATTATAGTAGTAGAAAATGACTCATCCTTAGCTTCAGAAATTAGTCTTCTAGTTGTATTGATTTCCTTTTCATCTTGCTATATTTTTGAACTTTGTTTGGTCATGCAAGTGCCCACCAAACTTGGACCCAAAATCTAGAAATGTCCACTAAATTCTTTTATGCCTTGAGAAATTTGAATCTTTCAAAACTCGAATTCATTTTAATTTGACGTTTTGCGTTCCTTTTTTGGATGCATTTTTTCAAGCCCCTTCATGATGGAGACCCATGGACTAAAGGCCCAATCACTAGGGCTATAGTCAGAAGATTAGAGGAGGATTGGACTAACTCCAAGGAAAGGTCCATAATTCTCTTTAA